AAGGGAGGGGTGAGGATAGGTAAGACACCTAAAAAACTAGCTAGCACTTGTTGTCCTTAACGCAGAGAAACTAAAGCAGATACCTTAAAGCAACTGAGGCCAATAGGAAAAGGGGACAGGAACTAGAGAAAAGGTTAGATTAAAGAGAATTAACCTAGAAGGTAACACCCACGCACAGGAAATCAATGTGAGTCAATGCCCTGTATAGCTATCCTTATCTCAACCAGCAAAACCCCTTGTTCCTTCCTATTATTGCTTATACTCTCTCTACAACAAAATTAGAGATAAGGGCAAAATAGTTTCTGCTGGGTATTGAGGGGGGGAGCGGGAGGGGGTGGAGTGGGTGGTAAGGGAGGGGGTTGGGGGCAGGGGGGAGAAATAAACCAAGCCTTGTATGCACATATGAATAATAAAAGAAAAATGAAAAAAAAAAAAACACTCATTCATTCTCTTAAAAATAATATATTTTTATATGCCTCTCATATGTCAGGCATGGAACTAGAGGTAGGGATACAGTGGTGAACAAATCTTCACCCTCCTGGATCTTATGACCTATAGTGGGAGATAGTGGAACAGACAATTGAAAAAATTCCCATAATTGTGATGAGGTCTTGAAAGAAAGTCAGTCTGTGGCCCAGCATGTGCCTATGTGGTGGATATTCCATGGGTGCTTTTAGGAATGGGTCCTGTACTTTTGGTGATTGTTTACTTGTCCTTTAGGTCAAGTTGGTTGACAGTTTTGTTCAGTTCTTCTATATTCTTCTGGTTTTCTATCTAGTTTTCTATCAGTGATTGATATGAGAGGATTAGATTCCAACTATTATTGAATTGTCTTTTTCTCCATCAAGTTCTGTCAGTTTTAGTTTCAGGTATCTGAGGGACTCTGTTGTTAGGTGCATATATGTTAATAATCCTTGTCTCTCCATGTTGAATTCAGCTTTCCCATTGTTACAAAATGTCTCTTTTTGTCCAGAAGTTTCTTTTATCTGACATGAGTATGACTATTTCAGTTCTCCTGTGGTTTCTGTTTGCATAGCATACCCTTTTAACCAAGATTTTACTTTTAGTCTAATTGTACCTTTGATTCTAAATTGTGTCTCTTAAGGGAGCATATTTAAGTTGTCTCTTTTTTGTGGTGGTTCTGGGGTTTGAATTCAGGGTCTTGTACTTGCTAGGCGGGTACTTTACCAATTGAGTTATGCCTCCAGGCCTTTTTACTTCAGTTTTTTTTTTTTTTTTTTTTTTTTAGTATGGCCTTCCATTTAGGCCTGAGTTAGATTGTACCACAATCCTATTCACACTTCTTATTTAGCTGGGATTTCAGGCACGTAATACCACAGCCACCTTATATTGGTTGAGATGGGGTCTCTTAAACTCTTTGCTTAAACTGGCCTTAAATCTCCATCTTCCTGATTTCTGCCTCCTGAGTTGCTGAGATTACAAGCCATTAGCCACCTTGTCCAGCAATTTGGTCATTTTAAAAGATACTTTCTGCTAATCTTGCCTTCTGAATAGATGATTTAATTTACTTAAATTTAATGTAATGACTAACATGATGAGATTTCATTTGCAACTTTGTCATCTACAGGATTTTATCTTTTTGTTCCTATGTTCCTCTATTACTCTATTGCTGTTTCCTTTTCTGTCATATAAGTATTTTTAGTGTACAAATACATTTCATTGTTGTTTCTTTTATTAGATTTTTGGAATAACTTTCTTAGTGGCTGCCCTAAGTTTTATAATAACATCTCAAAACTATTTCAAATTTATTTTAACTTAATTTCAATAATCTAAAGAAAGATTGCTCTAGTATTCCTCCTTTTTCTCCATTCTTTTTTTTGCTGTCATTGTTAAACAAATTACATCTTTTTACAGCAATGTTAATTCCTTTTTTTGTTTTGTTTTGTTGACTCTGGGGTTTGAACTCAGGGTCTCACACTTGGTAGGCAATCACTCTTACAGCTTGAGCCACTTCACCAGCCCTTTTTTGTAGTGGGTTTTTTGAGAGAAAGTCTCTCAAGCTGTTTTCCCAGGGCTGCATTCCAACCACAATCCTCCTGCTCTCTTGCTTCCAGAGTAGGTAGAATTACAAGTGTGAGCCACCAACACCCAACAGCAATGTTAATTTCTTGGTGTGGCTTGTTTTTTGTTGTTGTTTATTTTTTTTTTTTTTTGTCAGCTTACCTGTTCAGTGGCACTAACTTTTTTATGACTTGGATGCTATTGAGGTTTTGTTTGTTTGTTTGTTTGGTTTGGTTGGTTTTTGGTATTGGGGTTGCACTCAGGGTTTTGCACTTGCTAGGCAGGTGCTCTACCAACTGAGCCAAGCCTCCAGCCCTGGTGTAGCTTTGAGTTATCACCTGATTCCCATTCTTTTCATCCCCAAGGGCTCACTTAGATATTTGTAGTAGAGCATGTCTACTAGCAGCAAATTCTCTGCTTATTTATCTGGGAGAGTGTTAATTTCTTCTTATGATTTTGAAGGGTAGCTTGCTGAATATATAGTTTTATGTAGCATTTCTTTTTCTTTTAACACTTTACAAATCCATCTTTACCATTCTGGCTTCCATGGCTTTTGGTGAGAAGTCAGCTATTAATCTCATTGCGGACTGGTTCTACGTGATAAGTTGTTATTCCTTTTGTTACTCTCATGATTCTTTTTCTTTGACTCTAGTAGGTGTAGGTGTAGATGTGTTTGAGTTTGTCTTGTGTGAATGCTATGGTTTGGATCTTAAATGTTTCACAAGGGTCCCATGTGTTAAAATCTTGGTCCCCATGGTAGCAACATTGGGAAGTGGTGAAATTTTTAAGAGGTTGGGTTAGTGGGAGGTCTCGAAGTCTTTGAGAGCAGGATCTTGATGGGCATCATGGGACCCCCCACCTTCACTCTCCTTTGCTACAAAGCCATGAGGGTGGTTTTGCTTGGCTTTCATGTGCTGAGTCTCTTCACCAAAGGTCAAAAGCAACAGAGCCAACTGATCATGGTCTGGAATCTCCAAAACTTTGATCCAAGATAATGCTTTTCTGTTCATAAATTGGTTGCATCAGGTTTTTATTATAGCTGTGGAAAGGTGACTAACAGTGTGGTTCACTGAGCTTCTTAGCTATGGAGACTCATGGTTTCCATCAAATTTGGCAGTCACTCCTTCAGTGATTGTATATCCATTAGTGATCCTGCCTGAACTACTGTTTGGAGGCTGCTAAGAGTAATTTTCCAATTCTATTATTTCTACTTTTATTAGCCAATATTCTTCTGTTAATATCTTTCTTCTTGTTACCCTGTTTCACTTAGTATCACTGCAGACTTATGTTTGTAAAGAGTTGTTACTGAATGTGTTATAATCAGTTTCAGTCACTACTTCAAGTTGTCCGAAGTTTGGTTACTGAAAGTTCTTTCATTCTGGCTTCTGTGTCTTTTAGCTCTGTCCCGTTAGTTTTTGAGCATTTTGTGCTTCTTGATACAACAGTATCGCATGCTTTGCTGGTACTACCCTACCCCACCCTGGAATCAGTATTTCTCAAGAGGCTCTGGTGTGGGACCACTCATGTGGGAAGCATTTATGAGCCCTCACGTGGTACTGGGGAGACAAAACACAGAGAATGAGGGAGGGGATGTCGCAGCAATTACCTGCAGCTTCATGAACGTATGTGGAATAAAGGACTGACATCAGCAGGGCTATGGATGATAAAATACCATTTCCATTCCTTGGCTGTTCAGTCCAGGTCTTCTAGTCCTTGAACATATACCTGAAGATGTATTTTTTTAGCATGTTTATTATGATTAAAGACTCCTAGCCATCGTCAGGTTGCACAGTATCTCTCAACCCCAAACACTCTCTCTTCTCTTTGTTTGAAATGCATCTACACACACACACACACACACCCTCTTTTCATTGGAATTTAATTTTGACAAGAAGAGATTGGTTTCATTCCCAGGCTGCTGTGACTAGGCTGCATACTGTCTTCTCTTGTTTATTTAAAAAAAAATCTTTCTCATTTTCATTTTCTGTTCCAAAAGTGGTGTGTGCTGACACAGCCAGGCATACATCCTGATCTGGGTTCATTTCCCTGTGCTGCCTCCGTTTCTGCTCCTCCTGCCGGGCTCCTGCCTTGTGTTCTTTGATTCTGTTGATAGCTTTCATTTTGGTCTCCTTTTCGCATCTGGCCCTTCAAGCTGGGCTGTGGTTCTGCACTGTGGTTGGGCCACTCAGCCATTGGACTCTCTCCAGCCCCCACCAAATGCCATCTCTCTCTGTAGCAGGAAGATGCACTTAGCACATCTTCCTTATGGTATCTTCAATGATGTATTTTGCTTTGGGTACAAAAGCCTGTATTGACTTGAAATGCTGTCTGTGCTCTGTATATAATGATGATTATAATTAAAAAATGGACTTTCAGACCATCTTTGAGCACAGCCATCCCCCTTGGTTATTATCTTTCAATAATATTCAAAAAGTCTATGGATTTCACTGCAAAATGTCATCCTGAATGTTCTGTTCTGCTAACATTTTCCCCTGTGTTATTAGTAATTGTATCTTATCCCCCCTCAATAGAAACCTTGAAGTTACAATTGTGTTAACTGATGACCAGAAAAAGAAAAGTGCTCCTCAAGCAAAATAAACAAACAAAACAAAACCAAAAAACCACTCTGATGGCAGGAGACTCAGCCTTGTGAAGTATCAGTATCATACAACAACACACATGACCTTAAGCATTTGAGAAGTCTGACCATTGCATTCACCCATTCACCCCCTTCCTCTTCTCCTCTTCAGCCAACACCTGTCACTCACAAGCAGCCACCATTCTGATTTCTATCCCCATGAATAGCTCTGCCTTTATTTATTTATCATCTTTTTGTACTGCTGGGACTGGAATCCTGGGCCTCCTGCATAATAGGCAAGTGCTCTGTCACTGAGCCACACCCAGGCCCCTACCTACTCTGGAATGTTGCAGAGATAGTGTGAGTTCTAATTGTCATGGATGTGAAACCCCTCATGTTGTTAGATGGAGGAATCTGAGTCCATCTTCTCCACATGGTCTAAATCCCCATTAATGAGAGACCTCCTGGAAACCAGAGATCTCCTGGAGTTTGGAGACTTATTTACATTGTCAGGAATTTCAGGTGAAAAGAACCTGCAGGTGGACTTTTGTCATTTTGGGGAAGTGAAACATCAAATTGTCTCACAGATGAGAACTGAAAGGGAGATTTGCTGAATGGCCTTGTGTTTGAAGTACATTTAAAAGAATCATCTTCATCTTTGTCATCTGAAAGGATCCTTCTAGCTTTCCTTCTGGTTTTAACATTAACTCCTACTTCCTTCTGGTTCATCTTTCTTAGAAGAATCCAAACTAGGATGATGTAGTGACTCTGCTCTGGAATTAGTTGCAGAGCCACACAAGCTGTTTCCCAACATGCTCAGAAGACTTATGGGAGAGATTTTGTCTATTTTATGCAGAGTCTTCCAGGAAAAGACTGAAATCATATCCACACTGTAGTGAGGAGGCTAAAGGTTCTTCCTCCAACTTGGCCTCATTTCCTTGGGCACCATGCAGTGTACTATGGGATGCTGAAAAGTCATTAGGTATTTTAATAATGGATACATTCAATTCTGTATTTTTATTTTCATTTGTTGTGGAATTAATAAGCCAGGGACTGCAGTGATAAAAAATCTCACAATCCTGTAGATCTAAATTTGGCCCAAGATCAATTCTGATTGATTGACTAAGTAAATAATTAAAACTTCCCAGGTGGTTCTCTCGCAGCGCCTCTTGCATAGGCCCCCCTTGTAATGGCCCTTTTTGCACAGCCTTATTTTCAGCTACAAAGCTTCTTACTATTCCCAGTAAAGACTTGGTCCAGATTCCTTAAACACCTCCAACACCCTTGGGTAAAGTAACCAGAGTCAGCATCGAATTTATTTTCCTGTGGGTGCCTGCCGTCTTGCAGCATGGGACCATTCATCATTATACTGTAGAGATCTTATGTCTCAGTCTCTTTGGCGTGATCATAAATGCTCACATTTTCCATCTGAGAACGGATATCTTCCTCCTGGGTAGCATAAGAGGCGAAAAGCAAGGCTGTGGTTTGTTCAATTTGGGGTATTTCTTCTTTGTTTGAGAAGGAAATACAGGTGCTCTTAGCCAGGCCCCCTCATTTCCAGTTCTTTGTTTTTCCATCATATTTTGAGACTCAAATTCAACAAGGAACTGAGCTTTCTGAACGTGTGTTGAATATACAAGATTCTGTCACATCAAACTCTTCTTTAACAGACAGATCACACATGTACATCACATCGTGGTCTAAGAGTCCAGCTATCACCAGAGAGTGCAGGCAGTATGTTCAGCCAGTTTCTTATCAGATGCCCCTGAGCAGCATGCTGCAGCCGAGTTACAGAGTGCCTCAATTGTAAAAAGCTGTCTTAATTCTTGTTTACTGAAATTCTTCTTAGCACAGTAGTTTGTCTGATTAGTGAATCCTTGAAAACCTGTTTTCTGTACATCTTTTCCTCCACAGTCCCACACGTGATTAACCTATAAACTACAACATTCTCTTCTTGTCCAATTCTGTAAACTCTATCCACAGCTTGAACGTCAGTTGCGGGGTTCCAGCTAGGGTCAAAAATGACCACTGTAATTGCTGCAGTTAGTGTTAGGCCAACACCACTATGAGTGTGGTAAGAAGAAAAACAGAGTTCTCTTCATTTCACTGGAATAGCTGAACTCTTTTTTTCTCGCTCCCAAAGTTGAGTAACTGTGCCATCAATTTGCAGTGTCTTAACATGCTTATTCTTTAAGAGGCATTCAATGATGTTTAGAATTTGTCTCGAATGGGAAAACACCAGAGTTTGATGCCCCTCATTCAAAGTCTCTCTAGCAGCTCCATTAAGAATATCATTTTTCCAGCCAGGAGCCAGTGGCTCACACCTGTAATCCTGCAACTCAAGAGGCAGAGATAAGGAGGGTCATGGTTTGAAGCCAGCCCAGGCAAATAGTTCTGTGAGACCCTATCTCAAAGAAACCCTTCACAGAAAAGGGTTGGTGGAGTGGCTCAAGGTTTAGGCCCTGAGTTTAAGCCCCAGTACCACAAAAAAAAAAAAAAAAGTATCATTTTTCCAGATTCTTCCTGCAGTGCATCATCAGTCATGTGATCAGTGTTGTCCACATCTGAGGAATCCTCCTCCTCGTTTCCATCTTCAGAATTTGACAGTTCCTAGATTCAGCAAATGACAAACCCACACAGACAGCAGCTGGGGATGTTCACATAGCTTCTTTAAGACACCTAGCTCATCCAAAGGTGAACGTATCTCCATTAACAGCTCCTTGATGTGATCTAAAGATGTGAATTTCCTATAAATCTCTTCTTGTAAAGGTACAAGACATATCCAAATTATTAAATCATTTTTCCTGGAAAGGGAAGGCATTTCACAAATGGTATTGACACCTGCATTCTTTTCACTATCTCTGACCTCTGGGTTACTTGACCTTTTCTTCTGTACTTCTTTGGTCCTCCTGAGAAAATAGGGTTTTATGATTGCCATTAAATTTTCAGATATCCTAAATCCCAAGGCACTTTCTCCTGGGGTAGCATCCTTCTGTCTACTAATAGGTTTTTCATACTCCATTTTAAAAGTTTTTAATGTTCCTAGTGTTGCAGGTTGGTGTCAAGGCTTTTGTCTTTACAGGCCAAAGAACTGGTTCGTGATGCAGCTGATTGACTTGTGAGGTAACAAGGTCAGCACACAAAGTAGGATTTATTAGAGAAAGAAAAGGCTATAGCTACAGCAGTGAGGCAGAGCCTGGAGGTGAGGGCTGGGGCTTTTTATGGATGCTTTAACTCTGGGTTAGGGTAAGGGTTAGGTGCGTTCTTCCCATTGGCCATGGATTTGCGCACGCAGGCTCTCTTTGATGAGCTGGTCTGTTTGCCCCTTATGGGCAGGAACAACCTTGAGAGCATCCTGTCTATCATCCCCATCGCAGATTAATGAGACCATATATCTCCTCAGGGTGCAGGGCTCATAGTGCTCTCCATGGGGGATGGGATACTCACTCATCTGTCCTTTAGGTTACCAGACCTAACACTAGCAAGGACCCTTGGCAAGCAAAATCAAACGGGGACCAAAGCTCTTGCAAATTATTCTGGATTGGGGTTCCTGTGCGGAGGAGGCGATTCCTTGCAGGCACAGCTTGAGCGCTGATTGCTGATTTAGTAGATGAACTTTTCAATTCTATGGGCTTCATCAAGTATGACGTAGTACCACACAAACTCTTGGTCATGAAAGCTTGAAAGTTGCTACCAGTTGTTGATCACCATTGGGTATGTAGTAATTGTTAGGTCCCTGGCATTCCTGGGGCGGGTGGAAGGTCCCAAGGCTAGCACCTTAAAACCAGACCCCCTGATTTATGACCACTTGTTTCTTCCTCCCTGATTGTTTCTCGGCTTGCAAAACAACTCAGGAACTTCCAGTTATTCACTAGCCAGCATGTTGACCTGTTCCATCTGGTGATCGCAGATAATTGGAGACCAGAGACTCTCCCCTCCCCCATGGCTTGGCCCCTCCTATAAAGCCCACTACCCATTTTCAGCCAAGCTGCCTCACTCTGAATCCAAAAAGAGTGACAGCCCCGAAGTCTGGATTAATAAATCTTTCCTTTCTACACGTGGTGTGGTCTTTATTCAGCAGTACCTTACATCTGATGCCAAAAACCGGGAGAGGTTAACAGGATGCTCTGGCCCAGGGCTTGTCTCTTGGCTTTTGTGTCCTGCCCTCTCCTGAACCCAGACTGCTGAATTGACCCCATGTGCCCCTGGACTGCGGATTTCAGACCTTACTGCCTTGCCAGCTTTTCCATCCATCATTAGCCTTTCTTTTCCACTGCCCTCCACCTGACCTACTCCTCAGACTTGGTAAGTATCACCCTCCAAGTGGACGATTCTGCTCTCCTTGCCTGAGTCATGTAAGGGAGGCTAGATCTTGACCTAGATCTATATTGGCCTGAAGGGTAAACTCACCAAGACATCTCTCTCTCTCTCTCTCTCTCTCTCTCTCTCTCTCTCTCTCTCTCTCTTTCTCCTACATTATGGGGACCACACACTCTAAATTAGATGTGTCCATGCCCCTGGGATGCCTTCTCCGCTCCCTCGGGAACCTCAGTCTCCAAGACGATATAAAACCTAAGTGAATGATCTATTACTGCAACACTGTTTGGCCTCAGTACAAGCTAGACAATCAGTCACAATGGCCTGAAAATGGTACTTTTGATTTTCACACACTTCTAGATCTTGACAATTTCTGCCATTGCAATGGCAAGTGGTCTGAGATTCCATACGTTCAAGCTTTTCTTTCTCTCCGCTCTCGACCCTCCCTGCTCCAATCCTGTAATGCTGTTCAAATCCTCCTTGCCAGCGACAACCCCACTACACACACTGCAAAGTCCGAAACTCCTCCTGCTCCCTCTCCTGAAGACTCTTTTCTTACTTGTGACCTCACGGCTCTGTCTGCCCACCTCCCAACTCCTCCCACTGGTCCTCTACCTTAATCTCTTCTCCCACCCCATACTCCCATGACTCAGAGCCCCCTTCTTCCACCCCTGCTGGCTCTCCCAAACAGCTGACACCCTATTCTCCTTGTACAGTAGTCACAATTGACCCTGAGCCATCGGCTTCTCAGGAACCAAAACCGCCAGCCTTGCCCTCAGCCCCTGCTACACCCTCACCCTTCTCCTCCCCACCAGCATCCCATACTCACTCCCATACCTCCTCCCAAGCACACCCAACCCAGCACACCCACCATCAGCAGGATCTGACAACATTATCAGAGTTCATGTGCCTTTTTCCATGACTGACCTCTCCCAAATTGAAAAGAGACTTGGCTCCTTCTCTAATGACTCAGCCTCCTATATTAAAGAATTTAAATACCTAGCCCAAGCATATGATATGACTTGGCATGATATATATCTTATTCTTTCCTCTACTTTAACTCCAGATGAAAAGGAAAGAGTTTGGTTGGCAGCCTAGGCACATGCTGATGACCTCCACCACACAGCTCTCACTCTCCCAGTGGGATCTACAGCTGTGCCATGTAATAACCTACATTGGGACTATCAGGACCCTGCCATGCTAGCCACCCAAAATTATATGCTCACCTGCCTCCTTGTGGGGCTACAGACTGCTTCCTATAAGGCAGTCAATTTTGACAAACTTAGATTATCCAATGCCCAACTGAAAACCCTGCTGACTTCTTAGGGCACCTTACTGAAGCTTTAACCTGCTATACAAAGCTAGACCCATCTTCCAAGGATGGAATAATTATTCTCAACTCTCATTTTATTTCCCAATCCTTCCCTGATATTCAAAGAAAACTTAAACAGGTGGAGGATGGTCCTCAAACCCCCCAGGGAGATCTTGTGAAAATGGCATTTAAGGTATTTAATAGCCGAGATGAGGCCCAATACCAGCGAAAGGCCCAGCTCTTGGCACCTGCCCCTGAGGCCACCTCCTCCAACTTCGAGATGGACCGGACAACACACACCTCCAGGGCCTGCTTCAAGTACAACCAGACGGGACACTGGCAAAACACTGCCCTTCACCTCACCCACCGCCAGTACCAATCCACGAGGTGGCCAGAATGGACACTGGGGAATCGACTGCCCCTCTTTGTCTCTGCAAGGTAGGTCAGTCTCCCATTCCCACTCTCAACAGAGTGAAGGCCTCACAGACCTCTTGGGCCTGGCAGCAGAAGACTGATGCGGCCCTGGGACCTCAGCCCCCTTCAAGATCACTTCGGAGGAGCCCAGGGTAACCGTCCAAGTAGCAGGTAGGCCAATCTCATTCTTAGTGGACACAGGGGTCAGTAACTCAGTGCTACCCAACTTTCCAGGTAAGCTTTATCCTTCACAGATCTCTGTGGTGGGAGTAGATGGTGTCTTCCACTGGCCAAAAACTACTGGACCACTTTCTTGCTATTTATAAGGTGTCCCCTTTACACACTCATTCCTTATCCTGACCTCTTTCTCCACTCCACTGTTGGGAAAGGATCTTCTCTCCAAACTTCATTTCACTTTGTCCTTTACAATCCCACTCACTACTCAAGACCAGTCCCATGTCCTTTTCCTAATGGTACTTACTAATTGCCCTCCCTCCTCAGCTCCAAACTCTCTCCCTCTGCTTCCTGATATAGTAAACCCAATAGTCTGGGATATCTCCTCCCCTTCTGTCACTTCCCACCACTCACCAATTAAAATATATCTAACAGACCCTAAATCTCACCCAAACAGGCCACAATATCTTATCTCCCTAAAACATAGGTGGGGACTAAAGCCCCTCATTAACAAACTCCTAGCCAAGAAGATTCTTAAGCCCATCCACTCCCCATGTAACACCCCCATTCTACCTGTCCTAAAACCTGATGGCTCATACAGGACCTGAGAGTTGTTTGTTAACTCGGCTGTGCTTCCTACCCATTCTGTGGTATCCAACCCATATACACTATTATCTCGTATTCCTTCAGTCATCTCCGATTTTTCCATCCTTGATCCTTGATCTTAAGATCCTTGAGATCTTAAGATTCCTTAAGATCCTTGATCTTAAGGATGATTTCTTCACCATCCCCCTTCACCCTGATTGTCACAATATCTTTGCATTTACGTAGGAGGACCCAGCCTCCTACTTATCCAAACAGCTTGACTCTGTTGTCAAGGGCTGGCAGCCTTGCCTGCATACCTTGGCTGTGGCAGCCCTATTAACCCAGGAATCCTCCAAACTCACTTTTGGGAAGCCCACCACTGTCCTGTCCCCCCACTGTCCCGTCCCCCCACCAGCTGACTGACCTCTTGTCTCATTGCTGCCTTTCCAACCTGTCCCCCTCAACACTACAACTCTTCCACCTCACTTTTCTAGAAAACCCCGATGTCACTTTACAAGCCTGCCCTCCCCTTAATCCTGCCACCCTACTTCCTGACGTCACACCCCTGGAACACTCTTGCCTGGAATCCTCAGAGACCCTAACTTACTGTCAACCCCACCTGTCAAGCTTGCCTCTGCCCAACCCAGACATTTCTTGGTTCATGGATGGCAGTTCCTCACTGGACTCCACAGGCAGGAGGTGAGCAGGCTGTGCCATAGTGTCCCTCACAGAGGTTATCGAATCCAGTCCTCTCCCAGGGGGTGCCACCTCTCAAAAGGCAGAACTGATTGCTCTAACCAGAGCCCTTACCTTAGCTGAGGGAAAGACAGCCAACATCTTTCATGACTCTAAATGTGCTTACTACATTATACACCATCATGCTGCTGTCTGGGAGGAAAGGGGCCTTCTCACCACAAAGGGCACACCCATCACCAATGGGTCTCTAATTCTCAAACTGCTAAAGACCTCTTACCTTCCCACAAAAGTAGCAATAACCCATTGTAAGGGACACCAACCAGAAACTACAGAGACTGCCCAGGGCAATGCCTTTGCTGACAGGGAGGCAAAAAGCACTAGTGCACAGACTCCCCCCACAGCACTTTTTATAACTACTCCTAAGATCAACCCTATTTATACATCAGAAGAGCAAAATCAAGGATGGTTCCTTTTAAATGGAAAACATGTTCTCCCCAACACACAGCAGAGGGGGTTCTAAGGGCCATTCACAAAACCCTTCATATTGGCGCTAAGCCCCTTCTCCGCTTTCTTCACCCTTTATTCTTCCAGCCTTCCCTCCTTCTCTCATAAGAAAGATTACCCGAGAGTGCCCCACCTGTGCCCAGGTTTCCCCCAGGGTGGGCTGAGACACCCCCTTCCTTCTCTGCTCACCAGCTCTGGGGCTCTATACCAGGGGAAGACTGGCAGATTGATTTTACCCATATGCCAGCTCATAAAAAACTTAAATATTTATTGACCTTGGTTGACACTTTTCTGGATGGGTTGGGGCTTTTCCTACTACAGGTGAGTCAGCAGACATAGTGTCTACCCACTTAATCAATGACATTATCCCCTGCTTTGGATTGCCTTGGACTTTACAATCTGATAATGGTCCAGCTTTCATTTCAAAGGTGACCCAAATTGTCTCCTCTACCCTGGGAGTGGCCTGGAACCTGCACATCCCTTATCACCCTCAATTATCAGGAAAAGTGGAGAGAATAAATGGAATAATAAAAAAACATCTAAAAAAGCTCTCCATTGAGCTCCACTTACCCTGGACTCAGCTCTTGCCCTTAGCTTTGGCCTGCATCAGGGCCACCCCCTGAAGCCCTTCCTTCTCAAGCCCCTTTGAAATAACATATGGCCACCCATTTCTCTTAGGAAACTTGCCTCCAATAGACCCTGATCCTTTGGCTGACTACCTGCCTTACCTTACTTAACCTTCTCAGGGAACTTCTCAGAGAGCATGCAGACAAGATCCTACCTCACCCCACAGAGGGCCCCATAACAACTTCTGTTAAACCAGGGGATCTTGTTCTCCTCAAGGATCTTTGACCCTCTCCACTGGGACCTCAGTGGACTGGCCCTCATCTGGTCATCCTCACAACACCCACCACTGTCAAGCTCAACAGTGGCAGCACCTTTCAAGGATAAAACACTGCCCACTAACCCCAGACTCTTGCATAACAGCAAAGGATGAGTACTTTTGTGTACTGCTGGGCCCCACGTGGCTACGCCTCTCCTGCACTCTCTCCCCTCTCCCCTCTCTTCCTCTTCCTCTCCTTCATAAGTTCTCAGTCCTCATCTGGCTCTCAATTTTCTGCCATAGGTAAACTTACCAACAACTGGCCTTGTCTGCAAATGAAGCCTGGGAAAAACCATCAGCCTCTCCTCCTGGGGACCTCACAAATTTCCAAATCCCAGCCAAATCCCCCTTAATGACACCCCCATTCAGCACGAAGCAGCTAGATCAATTGGCACCCATAATACCAACAAAAGGCTGGAATATTAGGTCCCTAGCATTCCTGGGGTGGGCAGAAGGTCCCAAGGCTAGCACCTTAAAACCAGGACCCCTGATTTATGACCACTTGTTTCTCTCTGCCTGATTGTTTCTCAGCTTGCAAAACAACTCAGGAACTTCCAGTTACTCAACTAGCCAAGCATGTTGACCTGTTCCATCAGGTGATCGCAGATAATTGGAGACCAGAGACTCTCTCCCTCCCCCATAGCTTGGCCCCTCCCATAAAGCCCACTACCCATTTTCAGCCAAGCTACCTCACTCTGAACCCAAAAAGAGTGACAGCCCTGCAGTCTGGATTAATAAATCTTTCCTTTCCACACGTGGTGTGGTCTTTATTCGGCAGTACCTTACAGTAATAATGATGCCATTCTTTGCTGAATCTGTCTGAGGCTTTGGGTATTTTATCCTTGCTAAGGCTGTGAAAGGTTTTGACTCTCATTCCTGAGGTCCAATTGGTAAATTCTCTGACCCATGTGCTAATGAGAATGGTTGGCATGATCACTAGCAAGTGCTCCACAAGGGAAGCATCAAGCATAACAGAAAGGAAGGCAATGATTTGAACTGTTTTCCCTAACCCCATATCATCTGCCAGAATACTTCCTTTCTTTCTGTCCTTATACAGAGTATAAGGTACTCAAAGAGTTGGTTGTACAGCTCTGGATAAAGCAGCAAGCCAGAGTAGCGTACTTCTGTAAATTCATCATCTCCTTGCTCTGACAACTACTTGAAGGCTCCCTGTAGTTTTTGGATTCTGCTCATCACCTTTTCATTGGGAAAAATGTCCTTTGCCAAATTGGAAAGTTTAAGTGCTTCTTCCAAATCTGCATTCTTAGTTGCTTCCTTGGCCTCTATCACTTATTTCACATAATGGGCAGCCTGCTGGGGCTCAAGTTCTGGGCTTTCACCAGACCTTGGGGCTGGATTCCGGGTATCTCACTGCAGTTTGAAGTTGCTTGCTCCCACCGTACATGCTCCCTTTGCATGCAAGGGGATGGAGTCAACTGTCTGCCTCTAGGTCAAACCCCTGCCAGCACCACATCATGAAGGTGTCCTTCTTGCACTCAGGTGTGTGGTGGGTGTGTCTGGAACTCTGTTCAGCATCCTTGTTGGTTCCACACTAGAGGTCTGCCTAACTTGCAATGCTGCTGTTCACTGTGGCCGGGGTTGAGAAGCAGTCCACACCTCCACACCCTTGAGCCTTCCCCTGGGAGTGACGTGTTCACTTCTGCTCACTTTAACTGGTCAAAGAAATGACTCCAGAGAGGCAGGGGCATGTGATACTGCCATCAAGAGAGTAAGTAATTTACCTCCAAGGCGGAATCTGGACTTAAGCCAGATCTTAGGACTCTAAAGCTAGTGCTTTTATTCCGTGCCACGGTTACATCAGATGATCCCCCAAATGATCTTGTTTGTTTGCTTACTGTACCCAGAGTATTTTGTTCTCTTTGTAAGGCTGAAGTATCCCCTTATTCATTTCTCTTTAGGATAAGCAGACAGTCATCTAAAAAGGATGCATTTATTTAGCATGCTTGTTTACTTATATACAGATAGGTAGTTCATTTTCTTCCTTTCCAGTTCAGGAAGCTCTCTGTTGATAATAAATTCTCATTAAAGTAGCACAAAGTTGGAAAATAAAATAATCGTCAACACATTTTCCAAAATAATCAACACAACCCCAATGTGAGAACCAACCAATTATTCCCTCCAGGATCTGCCCCGGATTATTAAAATGCAATTAGACCCAGAAAAGTAACCCGGCAGGGGGCCGTGTTTATTTTTCTCAATCTTTTTCACAGTAAACTCAGAGCCTGGGAACACTCTCCTCCTGATACCTGAACACTTCTGAAGATTGCCCAGACTCGGGGATTCAAGACTGTGCCTCTACTGATTTCAAACCATCCAGTCAGATTCCAAATCACACACAAGATACATCTGTAGACGTGTTGATGTGCTCTCAGTGTTCACAAATTTTAACAATTGGCTGCCAATAATTAAAAATCTTGATTCCACATTTGGGATCGGCATCTCCTCTTGGAAAACAGGCCAATCTGACAAGCCCGGGTCCCATTGCCATGTGGCAGCACTTGGCTGGTGTGAGCAGCAGCTGCCTCTTCAGGAGGGCCATGTGTCTTCTGGGGGACTTCACACATTTGCATTTCTCATGGAGGGTGCAGAGACATGGAGGCATTTCTCAGCCCCCTCCCTCTCCCTGCTTCTCTGCAGCTTTCCTGGCCCAGCTGTCAGCTTGATGCCCTGAGCTGCAGTGGGGCTGAGAGCCAAATGCCACAGTGGCAGGCAGGAGAGATGCAGCCCGGGGATGGACACAGTTCCCTGCTCCTGCAATGCTGGCGTTCTTCATGACTTGCTCCTTGGCTTGCGTTTTGGCTTCTGCCCTTACTGCAGTGACAGTCTACCTATTGTCCAGTTCCATGAGGTACACAGACTCTTAGGGCTTCCTGTGACCTTCCTTTCCTTAATAGCTTTCTCCTGTTGGGATCCTGCCTCAGCTTGCAGGCTGACTACCTCCTGGAACTCCCAGGACTCAAGCTCTGCTTTGAGATATTCTTGGCTTGTTTGCATAGAGTAAGTAGGTAACAGTGTCTTTGCCTCAGGAAGCTGGACCAGTGGGACAGAATAGAGTCCAGAAACAGACCCAAGCATATACAGTCACCTGATACCTGAGAAAGGTGTCCCTACAGTGCTGCAGGGAAAGGTTGTTGTTTTTAATATAAGTATTGGGTCACTTGTACATTTACATGGAAAAAGCCTGTTTTTACCTCCACCTCACACACTGCAAAACCAGTCCCAGGAGGATTGCAGATCTGAGACACCAGGTCTCTGTCAGCATACAGAGGTGAATGTCTTTGTGCCCTTCGGGGAGCATTTTATGCAGTTCATTATTGAGTGAAGCAAGGCAAAGTTTGGGGCTGTCGAAGTGGCTCAAACTGTAGAGCACCTGCCTATCAAGCCTGAGGCCTGGAGTTCAAATCCTGGTACTACCAAAAAAAAACAAAGAACCCATGGGATTAAGAGCTCACTGTCTATAGATGGGTTCAAGAGTCCTTGCCCTCAAATATCACACAGTTTTTTGGGGAGAAGAGACATAGGGAAAACAATACAGCAAAGTGTGATGAGACCAATGTCGTAGGAGCCCAGAGCTGGGGGTTCCCGATTCAACCTGAAGATGGTTTGAGGGAGGGCTTTCTGGACTGTGCCCTCTGTCTCCTGCACTGTCCATGGACACAGATATTCTTAGGAACAGTCTTCCGGAGACTGTTCTCAGTCACCCTTTCCATTGATTCAGAGAGTGCTACAAATGTCCCTTTGGTACACTCTCCTGTAGATGTGGCTGGGTGATGCTGAAAATGTCTACAATGAATATCTGTGAAATAGGAGTCAAAAACTGTAGGGCTGGGGTGGGGTGGGGTGGGGTGGGAGTCTGGCTCACTTGTAGAGCACTTGCCTACCATGTATGAACCCCTGGGTTCAATCTCTAGCCTCCACTCCTCCCCCCAACCAAGAAAAAATAAAAACGGCAGTGGATTCATGGCTTCTAAGAAAATCCTTAGCCTCACCATGATGGTATTACTAAGTATGTTGTACTGAATGTATCTAGTGATATTGGAAAGACAAAACCAGCCTTGGGAGGGAAAGAGGAGCCCACAGCTAACCATGGGTAGCCCATGGGTTGCAGGACCACATGCAAATGGTGATGTGGCCCTGGATGAAATGGGTGAGATGCTCAAGGTCCCAGTGGCAGAGACTGACCAAAGGACCAACAGGGATCTGAAGGCCACACTCCAGAAGCGAGTGACACCACAGCCAGGGTCCCCATCCTGAGTACGTGGAGCTTGGGAATGGATGTCAGGCCAGCATGCCTCTGTGGGCAGGAACTGGGGCAGAGCTCAGGGGCCACATGGACCTCTCGTGAGGTCTGCATGAGACAAGGAGCCTGGGGGGGTGGGGCTGTGCTGCTTGCCCCCAATCCTGCAGCCAAAGCAGAAGCATTCTGTGGGCTGGGTGACTCCAGCAGCCCCCTAGGAAAACCCAAGGCTGTACCTGTCCAGGGTTCCCCCAAGTCAAACTACCTACCCTGTCCTTCAGTACTGATCAACACCTGGCTTTTTGTCAATTACCTCCTAGCTTTCCAGATAGATGCTACATTTGTCAGGGACAGAGAACCCACGCAACACTTCTTGTGATGCTTGCAATTCTGGCTCTAGCACTAATTTAAGCTTGTGATGAATTGATAACCCATCTTCCCCTTAATGGGTGATGTACCTGTGACCTAAAATCCTGGGGTCTGGGGTGTAATAGTGTTCAAATACTAGCTTCACATGAATGGCTTTGCTCAGTTTAGACTTCACAATTTAGGATGGTAATAGTTTCAAACTGATTCCAGTTGTGTGCCATAACTGGGTCTAAACAAGTATTGGATATATTGTTGCTGCCATTATAATTATTCCTGTGTAGCATTGCCACTGTCCTGTAAAATACTCCAGGTTCTTTCCAGCCTGGACAGAATAATCATGACAACAGCGCCTCCTACTGGCCAGGAATTGTGCCAAAAGCAAACATGTCTATTGCCTTCTGTCTACTGTTTATTTCTGCTTGGCTATCTCAGAGGGACCTAAAACTCAAAATGTTCCAAAGTAATGTCACCCTCCTATTCCTCTTTCTAGTTTCCCCATCTCAGTGAAATGCACAGTGTGCATCCAACCCACCACATCAGCCACCTGATGGCTGACTCCGTCCTCAGCATCTTCTTTCACCTAGATTACAGAGATAACCTCCTAAATGTTCTCCTTTGCTCCAGCCCAGCCCCTCCAATCTTTCCTCTCTGGATTGCAGCCAGTGTGAATGCAAAAGCATGACACTCCCACTTTTTAAACCCTTATCAAGTATCCAGGTCTTTCAGATAATGTCATTCCACCTTTCAGACTCGAGAAGAGCTGTCACTCAAGCTGGCTCGGAGGTGGAGGTTTTACTTCTGTGCTAGCACATTCTGACACGGGTTGAATGCACGAGCTTATTTCATGTCTCTTCCCCTGCTTCATGTGAAAATGAGAATATTGTAGAAGGTAAGTGAGATATGAATGCAATTCACAAATTCTGCTTCCTGACCCTGCATTAGTGCTGAAGTAAGAGAAAGTAAGGGTGCAAGTAGTTTCTTCAAAGTTTTAAGGGGAATAGCATCACTGTCATCATAATTACTGGCAGTACTGGGGTTTGAACTCAGGGCCTCACACTTGCTAGGCAAGCGCTCTATTACTTGAGCCACTCCACCAGCCTAGGAAAATCATTTTAAACCTAGAACCCTAAAGAGCCAGATCATTGCAAATATGTAAGGTCAAACTCAAAATACTTTCAGACAAGTAAGAGTTTAAGATATTTTTCAGTCATGAATGCTAACTGAAAGAAACAGAAAGAGGATTCAATCCAAGAAAATAAAAAAAATGAATCCAAGAGGAAAAGGTAGGATGCAAGAAGCAGTAGCAGTGGTAAGCCAGGAAATCAGTAAAAGACATTATTAAAGCTAGATTAGTGTTGCATCTTTAGATACTGTTCACAGAGCGTGAAGAAGTCAGATATCGGCTCAGTTCTATAGGTCACTAGAATGGTATAAGTAGAAGGTATGTAGCTTCCAAATCAATTAACGAAACAGGTAAAAATATGGGGGTGGAGGGGAAATATACTAAAAGATTGCAATCAGAAGATAAAAAGTAGTATTACAGAAATAGGTTTAATTGTAGAAGTGAGGTAATTTATGTAAATTGGTTTTATTAATGTATAAAGAGACTCATTGGATTTTAAAAAATGAAAAGTTATAGGTTGTTTATAAGGACACACAAAAAGAAAAATGAAAATAACAGAGTAAACCAGGTGTTGGTGACTCACACCTGTAGTCCTAGCCTACTTGGGATGCTGAGAGCAGGAGGATTGAGGTTCAAGTTTAGCCTGGGAAAATAATTAGAAAGACCTCCATCTCCAAAATAACCAGAGCACAATGGACTGGAGGTGTGGCTTAAAAGGTAGAGAGCTCTACATTCAAACCCTGGTGAAAGAAAAGGAAAGAAAGAAAATAAAATAAAGGGAAGAAAAGAACAGTGAAAGAAGAGAAAGAAAGAAAAAAAAGAAAATGACAGAGTAAAGTTGGAATAAAGGAGAGAAAATGACCCATTGGATCTGGATGTGGTGGAGCACATGTGGTCCCAGCTGAGGCTGAGGTAGGAGGATCACTGAAGCCTGAGAGTTCAAGGGCAGGCTGGGAAAGATCCTGCAGAAAGGAAGGAAGCAAGGGATGGAGGGAAAAGAAGAAAAAGAGTGAAACAAAATGAAAAGGAGTACATCTGTAATCCCAGCACTTGGGAGGCTGAGTTTCAGGCTAGCCCGGGCTACATAGTTCCAGGCAAGCCCGCATAGACTGTGAAAAAAAGAAAGAAGCCAGGCACTGGTGGTTCATGCCTGTGATCCTAGCTACTCTGGAGGCAGAGATCAGGAGGACAGAGGTTTGAAGCCAGCCCGGGGCAAACAGTTTTAGAGACCCTATCTCAAAAACACCATTCACGAAAAAGGGCTGGTGGAGTGGCTCAAGGTGTAAGTCCTGAGTTCAAACCCAGTACCACAAAAAAAAAAAAAAAAAAGACAGTAGAGTGTCTGCTTTGCAAGTATGAAGCCCTGAGTTCAAACCTCAGTCCCACCCACCTCCACTCCCTGCAAAAAAGAAAAAATATGAATTAAAGGTGCCAACAACCTGGAGATGTGAGGCTTCCTGGAAACAAAACTGTCCAATTTCCTTTCTACCCAAGAGCCAGTTTAGCACAACACAATTCACTCCAAATTATTGAATATGGTAAAAAGAACCGTTCCGGTGTTGAAGATACACACCCTGCCCTCACTCTCTCAAGCATCTTATTTGATCCTTGCCACAACAGAAGACAGGTATCAGGATCCCTGGCTTTTAGATGAGGTTCATGTGAGATGCAAAAGTGAGTTTGGACTGAATGACAGGATTCAAATATGATCCTGAAGTCAATGTTTTCTCGTAACTGGGCAAGTGTGCAATTCTCTAGAATTGTGGACTTTTATGAACCTGGCTATTTTAATAATTTCTCAATCTCCTTTCTCACCCATTGACCTTCCAGAAGATTAATCACTAGCCCCTAAATCTTCGTATGATTCACCTCATTAATCATAACCTCCTGCTCTTTTTCAGATGGCCTTATGTCCTAGTTACTTTAAGAGCACCAAGTGTCTTATATTACACAATTTCCCAGGTGCAGCTTCAACACTGCTTGCACTCTACAACTTCCTCATATTTGATAAGGGCTCACTTTTTACCCAGGTTGGCCTTGAACAGTGATCCTCCTGCTGCCTGCCACTCAATTAGGTTAGGATTATAGGAATGGGATACTGGCTACTTTGAAGCTTTCTGAGCAACATGGACCAGATGAGGGATCCAAAGCTGTTGGCAGTAACAAAGTGCACTCCCCTTTACTCCAGGTAACAGCTTTTACCTACCGCATATCCACATTCTCTCATCTCCTTCCCCTGTGTACAACCATACTGACTACAGAGAAGTTCAGGGGTCAAAAGTGAATCCTGGGGCTGGCGGAGTGGCTCAAGTGGTAGAGTGCCTGCCTAGCAAGAGTGAGCCTGAGTTGAAACCCCAGTACCAACACCCAAAAATCTCACATTTGAGTTACTTTGTAACAACAAATCCTCAGTTCTTTCACTTGCTCCCCTCCTCCTCTTACAATCTCAAACTAAATTCTTTCCCAGGTTTCTATGCACTGCTAGCTTCCCACCTCTCAAAGACTCATTTCCCAGTCTCCAGGTTGTGTTCACTATTCCTAGGCAATGTAGTCACTCAAGACTTCCCCTGCTCTTATTACCACAGCTGACAAATAGGAGATACAACCCTGCTTGTTAACTACTCAAAGGTATACCACATAGACTGAACTGGGGTCTGGAGATAAGCCAAGTTCCACAGGCTTTAAGAAGCAGAGAAGACTAGGTTGTCTTAAATGAACATGACTTGTCTTCTTAGTATTACTTGGGAGCCAGCTTTGACTAGAATTTCATTTTGAACATATCCTTAAGCCTGAGATGCCTTATAGTATTCAAGGCCATTTGGGATCCTTTACTGCTCTAAATTGTTAAAACCACGTGAAGGGAGGGAATGAAAAACCTTAAGTAACCAAACCGCCATATATAATCTGCCTCCCTACCTTTTTCATTGTGTGGTAGGACTGGGGTTTGAACTCACAAAGCAAATGCTCCTCTGCTTGAATCACACCTACACTTCCTTTTGCTGATTTTTTTTTTGGGGGGTGGGCAGGTCTTTTAAACTATTTGCTTGGATGGAGTCGAGCTGCAATCCTCCACAACCTCAGCCTCCAAGTAGCTAGTATTATAGGTGTAAACTGTCCTTTTTTTTGGTGGCACTGGGGTTCGAGCGCAGGACCTTGCTTGCATGATAGGCAAGTTCTACCACTGAACCACACCAGCCCCACAGTGTATTTTTACAAGAAAATTTGCCAGACTTGTGTGCATAAAGACTGGAACTCAGCATGGTGCTGGTGGCTCACACCTGTAATACTAGCTACTCAGGAGGCAGAGACCAGGAGGTACAGTTCGAAGCTAGCTTGGGCCAATAGTTCATGAAACCCTATCTTGACAAAACCAACACAGAAATGGCTGGCAGAATGGCTCAAATGGTAGAGTGCAGTATTGCCACACACACAAAAAGCTGGAACCTTATATATCGAGAAATATTTGTACAAGGAAAAAAAAGTTGCATTCTAATCATGATTCCCCCCATCAGAATATTAAGCAGCTTTAACTTTATGGTGGCTGAGCATTACTCAAGCTCCAGCTGTTTGAGTTTAAGAGACTGGTCCTCCAATGTTCACAATCCCAATTAGCCTCCTAAATGCCACCTTAGCAACAAACTTTATATCCAGACTTGCCAACGTGTCAAAAAGAATCTTTATTCCTTTTTAGAGCAGATTCTTATGCTTTCTTGCCAGATGCCTTTGGAGCAGCTGCTTTCTGGGCTGGAGCCTTCTGGCCCTTCTGAGCTTTTGCAGGCGGAGCTGCCTTCTGGCCTGTGGCTTTCTGGGCAGGAGCCTTCTGGGCCGGGGCCTTCTTGCCTCCATCAGTAGCCTTTTTCGCTGGACCTTTAGCTTTAGCAGTTGCCGCCGCAGCTGCTATCGCTGCCTTAGCGACAGGTGCTTTTTTGGGAGAAGCTTTCAGGAGAGCTGCTCTTTGAAGTTTCTTAACTTCATTTTTGATTATTCTATTCCTCTGGAAAAAATGTCAACATAAGAAAGCACTGATTACACTGGATTCATGCTAGTTTTTTAGAAAGGGCAGTAGTTAGCCTATTACCCACAACTGAATCTAAATAAGGATTAGCAATTCCTTAAGGACATGGAGAAATACAAACAAGGACTTTTTTTTTTTTTTTAACTCACAAAGCACCTAAGAGGTACTTGAAATGGGAATTTGCAACTGCTCCCTTGTTTTAAAGCAGTTAAGACAATTCAGGTTCTAACACTTACCATTTTCTTTGCCTTCATGACTTTAAAACGATCGAAATCTGTCATCTTTGCTTTCTATTAAAACAAAACAAAGAAAATGATCACTTATACCACTTTCCAACTCCAAAAACCCAAACCCCCACAATTCAAATGCCCCATAGCCATTACCCTTTCTCTGGCTTCAATCTTCTTGGCCCATCTTGTGGCCGCCCATTTTGTACTGATATCTGCTTTCTCCCAGGCTTGTCGCACGCACTTCTGACGGGCACTAGAAAGAGCCAAGACCATAGACTCAGCTTTGAAGGCACACATACCCAAGGACAACAGTTTGTCCTCAAACCATTCTTCCTGCTACACTTCCAGCTTTGTCTTCAGAGCACACATGCCACCTGGCACACTGCCTTTTACTGTAAGAGGATGGTGTTCATGAAGCCAAAATATAATTTCAAGCACAATTTTATTAATTCCATTTCATGGAATCAAAAATCACCTCCAAACACCTTTAGCACCACTTAGGAAGTAGAATGAAAGTCATTTCCTTTTTATAATGAACAGAGAAAGTTAATTCTTAGGCCTGATTTTACTTTGTAAAACCACAACCTGTGGCTGAGCATCTTGAAACAAAACCCAGTGTGTATCATTCAGGGACCAAAGACAGAAATGCAACAGTAACCAGAAAAACTACAAGCTACCACAAACTCCCATTTCCAATTGTAACAAGCACCTAAGATTCATCCCTAAGTATACTTCAACAGTATATAGTTTAATGGTAGCAGCATGGTCCCATTAACTCCAGGCTGTTGAGAGGTTAAGTTTTTGGCAAACAGTACTGGTAATGTCTACTTTGTGCTTGCCAGTTACTGAGAGGCTCAGCACACTGGCGGATTCTGTACTACTCTTTTTTTCTGAATGGTGGCCGATGTAAAGAGATGGTCCCAATATATAATTATCTTCTGGAACACAGTATTAGGTATTCAAACCTATACAACTTTTATCTACTGTATCGTTGATGGTCACGTGTAGTACATGCTCTATTTCAACTGTCACTATGAGTTGAGACAAGTATATAGCAATTTATTATGTTCAATTTTCATGTCAAAAAAAGAATTGCTCCTTATTGCCTTAATTTCTGTATGTAAGGTGGGCAAAGAATATCTCTTACACTAAATACTTGACAAGTGACACACTAAAAAGTTCAAATAATGATAATAACTACTAGAAGAGATAGGCGTTGACATTTTTGTTTTGAAGCTAAAAATAACAAGGCAAAGTAGTACCTATAAGGAGGATTTTGAGTTCAAGAACAGCCTGAGCTACACAGGGTGTCTTAAAAAGCCCAAAACAGAAACGGGTTAAGCTGGGTCCAGCTCAGGTTGAGTGCTTATATGGCACGCATGACTCTGTGGGTCTAATTCCCAGCTTCACATACACTAAACAACATATGACTGGATGTGTGCTGAGTGGTGAATGCTTGTGTAGTGAAAAAAAAAAAAGATGTGGGTTCAATTTCCATTTCTGCCAAAAAACGTAACAGAAAAGGTGACTTTGGGTATTGTGAACAGAACTCCTTAATGAATTTATTGCATGAAAATACCGTCAACGGGACAATAGGAGAATGTCAAGTCTGGATAAAGCCAAAGCCAGACAATGTCCATGGTGGAAAAGTGAACAATATTTTAAAAGTAAACAATGCCTATTTACTCTTACAATGTAAATTCCTTTTCTGAACTCCTGTATTGTTTACTCTATTTTTAAGGGAAAAACCAAGTGGCAAAAAAACCCTCAAAACCAAACTTAAACTTTTACTAGTGTAAACAAAACTAGGAGTCATGACTGGTGTAGTTACCTGTGTGGAAACTTCAGGATGAAGTCGGTGAGCTGCATGCATTTGAAAGGCATGGCCTGTCTTCTCACCCGAGTGCAAGGTCCATCAACCAAAGCCTAGAACACAAAGATGAAGAATCTCAGTGCAAAACCTAATAGCAATTAAAATGGACAAATACCTGTATTAAAATCTGTCCATTTAAGACCATCAAAACCCACACTAGTATTTAAATACTGACCAAGTACCTTCAGTGGGCCTTATCGGTCTTAAAACTCGGTTTATCACAACTCATTTAAACCTTGGCAATGTCTTAGCAGTAAGTGGCTAAAAGTTCTGGCTATTTTAAATGGTCTAATACTCTTTAACAATACCCTAGCCCAGTTACCTCAAGTCTATTTCAATCATGTACTCAAACTGTTTCCTCAGTGGTAAAATAAAGCTATCACCTTTACCTTAAAGGTCCAATGAAACACTGACCGGTACCATCTCTAGTGCATACCAATCACTGCCACTTAAATAAAAAGTTGGGATGTTTTTCTTGTGCTTACCCTGTTCTGATCAATAACATCTACAATCGCGACCAGTTTTCCGGCATGAGGCCCAAAGGAGACGTAGGCCACCCGGCCAATCTCCACGAAGCGCCTGAACACCTGAAGTGGGGCAGAGATGAGAACAAGATGCATTTCCTGGCTGGTTTGCAAGTTTCCAACTTACATAAACCGATTAGCGAGAAATACCTACTTAGAATATTACGTCCAGTCGCCTGGGGCGGATGAAATCCGCAGAGGCGGTGAAAAGCCCACTTCCGCCTATTTCCAAGACCAGGGCCCCGACCCTGGAGTCCCCCGTGCAGCCTGAACCCGGCCCCGGGGCGCCTGAGCCACCCGGTCACCAGAGCCGAGGCGCGCACGCGTGGCCCATGGCGCGCCTGGCCGGCCGGGCCCTCCACGCGATCGCCGGACTCGCGTCCGAAAGACACTGAACCCGGTGCGCCGCCCGCATGGGAACCCTCCCCACGCGCTGCCCAGGACCCTCAGGGTGCCACTCCACGTTTCAGCGGACCCGCTAAACTGATAGTGGAGCAGCATGGCCGCCAGACTCAGAGCCCCCCGCAGCCAGACTCACCATGTTGGCGGCGTTCGGCGAGAAGGAAGAAGGCCCGCCCGCCCGTGCGCATGTGTAGCGGACCGCCCCGCCCCTTCCGTCAACGAGAAGCGACGTGGGCGCCGATTGGTTGCGGCGTCCGTGCGTGCTTACGCATGCTTGCTGGGAAAACATGGCGGGGCGGGTAGGGCCCGGCTGCGTTCTGGCAATTATGTGCAAGGAAATTGACTTCGGTGATTTAGACAGACAAGTTGTCGGAAAATAATCTTTTAGACTTTAGAGTAAGGAAGAGCACAAAGTGTCTGCCTTCCATGGAAACTCTGCATCCCATTTGACTTCCATTCCTCAGAGGAAAAAAGAAAAAACCCAAACAGCTTCTTGGTTGAAACAGGCCTGTAATTGTGGCCGGAAGACTGCAGGTTTGAGGCCAGATAACGAAAATGTCTCAAATAAAAAAAAAAATAAGAAAGAGAAAGAAAAAAAACAAGATAGGCGCCCGTGGCTCATGCCTGTAATCCTAGCTACTCAGGCAGAGATCAGGAGGGTCGCTGTTTGAGGCCAGCCTGGAAAAATTAATTCGTGAGACCCTATCTCAAAAATACCCAACACAAAATGGTTGATGGAAACACCAAAAAAAGAAAAAAAAACAAACCCCCACCTCAGAACCCTGGATTTTTGTCTAAATATTTATGTTGATGTTACTCATAGTTTTAGTACTGGCCTTTTACTTTTTAGTTCACGTTTGCTCCCTACACAATACCAGTAATTTTGTTAATCTTTTAAAATTAATTCATAGAAAATAATTCATGCTGGGCAGCGGTGGCTTACGCCTGTAGTCCTAGCTGCTTTGGAGGCAGAGATCAGGAGGATTAAACCCAGCCCAGGAGGATAGTTTGCAAGGGGTCCCGTGCCTATCAGTCAAGAGGCCCTTTGAGAGAGCTGTACTCATACCAAGGTCTATCTCCACTGCCTCAGTCTCCCTACTTGCAAGGCAGCCTTGCTGAACCTTGCTCACCTCCTTTGTGCTGGGGTCTTGCTTCCTCAGCACAAGGTCTTTGACATGGCCTTGCTCCTGTCAAAGTTTCTTCTCAGTCTATTTAGTTACTGATCTTCTACATGTTCCTTATATCATCACTTCTTTCTGGTCATTGTGGTTGAGCCACACTGGTCTTTAATGGGCCTCACTTTCTCCTGCTCTATGACCTCTATACATATCTCCCTTGCCAGGACTTCTCTTCCCTCTTCATACTCATTTTGTGGCAGTGCCAACTCATCTATTTTTTTTTCTAGATATTCTGACAGAATCTGGTTATCTCAGGTAACAATAACAACAAAAAAGGGTTAGCCCTTTTCTCTAGCTCAGCTGGTTTACCTCGGTTATCACAGTTAAATTGTTTGACTTACTTTTCTGTTCACTCAGGCTGTTGTAGGGTTTTTTATTTTGTTTTTGGAATCATGTCTCACTATGTTACTCCGCCTTGGATTCTCTATCCTCCTAAACCCCGAGTGTTGGGGTTACAGGCTTGTGCCACCACACCGCCTTTTTTTACTTTTTTTTTTTTTTTGGCAGCACTGGGGATTGAACCCAGGACCTTGAACACACTAGGCAAGTGCTTTACCACTGAGCTACATCTCCAGCCCTGGTTGTAGTTTTGTGCCAGTTAGAGTTAAGTTCCATGAGGGCAGGATCTTTTCTGTTTATCTCCAAATCTTAGCACAGTGCCTGGTAAAAGCCTCAATCAATGCATAGGAAATAAATTAGGCTTTAGACCTTGGTATCTTGTTTAATAATTTACAAAAGACACAAACAAGAATGGCCATATCAGTTATTTTGTTTGTTTCGTAACAGTCCCAAACTGGAAACTACCTGTAGGCTCGTAATCAAGAAAATGGAAGGCTGAGCATGGTGGCGCACACCTATGATCCCAGCTACTGGGGAAGCAGTCAGGAAGACTGAGGTTCCAGACCAGCCAGAGCAAAATCTCTGGACCCTATCTGAAAAACACTAAAAGTAAAAAGGACGAGAGGCATGACCCAACTGCTAGAGCACTTGCCCAGGAAGCAGGAGACTGTAAAAGTTTAGTCCTAGCATAGCAAAAAGAGCAAGGTTAAGAATGAAGTCTACAGCAACTACATGTAACAACATGGATAGATTTCACACATAACACTAAGTGATTTTACTTATATAGAATTCAAACCAGGCAAAACTAGCCTAGGATGTTAGAGGTATTGGTTGTCTAACGCAGCAGTGGCTGGGGGGGAGGGGGGCAGGCCGGGCTTCCCAGCTGTTGGTGGTCATGTAGTTTATTCATCTGAGTGTTGGTTGCAGGACTGTGTTGAGCTTGTGAAAATTCAAAATTCTGCCCTTTTCCCTCAAAATATATTAACTTAAAACTTTTTTTTTTTTTTTGGTGGGCCTGGAGTTTGAACTCAGGGCTTCACACTTGTAAAGCAGGTGTTCCACTTCTTGATCCACAGCTCCAGTCCATTTTGCTCTGGTCATTTTGTAGATGAGGGGTCTTGGGAACTATTTGTCTCGAACAGTGATACTCTCCATCTCAGTCTCCCAAGTAGGTAGTATTACAAGCGTGGGCCACTGGCGCCCCAACATTTTTTTTTTTTCTAAAGGGAGTTTCCGGGCTTTACGACCAGAGAATGTAAATGGAATTTACAGGTTCGGGGAGGGGCAAGAATCTGCTTTAAGCAAGCTCCCCAGTGGTTCAAAGAATTTGCTTTGGGAAACACTTTAGGAGTCTTTACAGTTACAGAACTATTTTTCCAGGGCGTATCATCTGATTAGGTCACCCGTTCCAAGTTCTCCAAGTCCAAACTCCCTAGCTTGGCATCCAAGGCCCCCTACAATGCGCCTTCCTAGTTTTACTGTCCATTGCGGTCACTCTGCGACTCCCATACTACCTCACTACAGATTCAGGTTCCGTACTTTTCTGCAGCTGAGCCTCTTTCCTTCCCCCCCCCCCCCCCTTCTTGAAGAAGTATCTAAAGATCCTTCAGAAGCAGCATCAGGTTGCTTCAGATTCCTTTCAAATTCCATTATAATGGCAAGACAGCTTTTTCCAAGCAAGCCTTGACTACCAATCCAGAAGATCCCGGGCGTCCAGGATTACCATTAACAGCTACAGAGGTTAGAAACCCGCTAACCAGACCGAGCATGCGCAGAGCTTCTGGGGGCGGGCGGCCTAACTTCCGGAAGCCCTTCCGGCTTGTCCAGTCACGGAGAGGAAGGGCAATGAGAGGGGGACGCCAGGAGTCAAGCTGGCGTCCTGGACTCGCCCTCAGATCATTCGCCTTCTATCGACAGAGCCCTGCCCCTTCCGGTACGCCTGACCGGTTCTTCCAATCACTAGGAGGAAGGGCAATTCTAGAACGACGCCCGGAACCAAGATGGCGCCCTGCACTCGGGCTCTACCTGTGGAGCCACGCCCTCGCATTGTGTCCAATCAGTAAGACGCATGGCGAGGCGGGGCAAAGGCCGCACCTACAAAGCGCTTGGACTGAGCGTGTATTTGGCAGAAGCGGTCCTGGAAGCTCCCGTGGTTCCGCCCCACTCCCTCACCCCCTCGCTCTTGCTTCTTGGGAGGAATGGATGGTAGGCCCACGCAGGCGCCGTGCTTCGGGTTCCTGCCCCGGACGCCCGGCGGAGGGGTGTCAGTGGTTCCAAGCTCGGGCGGGAGAGGTGGGGAGGGGAGCAGCGGAGGCCCACTTCCCAGCTTTGTCACAAGTTTTCTCTCTAGGTAGCCAGTGCTGCCCACCTGTAACCAGACGGACCCCAAATATTTCAGTCAGCTTCAGTGAGTTTGGAGTCTTTTTTTTTTTTTTTAATTAGTTGCTGGAGGCCTCAGTTTGACAGATGAAGTGTTTGTCAGGAGCTTCAAACATAAAGACATCTAAGCCTATACCAGAAGTGAGCCAAAAGCTACCCAAACCCTGACTTACTTTCTATAAAATGTATATATATTTAAAATTGTGCATATTTGTGGGGTACAGTGTGACATTTCGATATGTGCATTATGCAATGTGTCATGATTAGATTACAGTGGGGTATTTTTTACTGCAAATTTTGTTGGGAATATTCCCAACCCTCTCTAAGCTACTTTTGAAATCCACAATTAATTGTTGTCAGTCATAACATCTTACTGTGTTAGAACATTAGAAATTATTCCTTTTATCCACCTACATTCCTGTACCTCATTAACTCTCCTCTCTTCCCTCCATTCCTCACACTTTTCCAGGCTGATTTTCTTCCTGTAACCTTCCTGAGGTGTGAGCTAACCATAGCTGTGACCAAATAGGCATGGTGGGTACGTGCGTTTGTATTTAGGTGAAAACGTGTTATATCCTCAAATTTTGCAGTCCTTTCCTTGATAATATAGCGGTGAAAATTTTTTTTTTTTTTTTTTGCAATCTTAGGAACCCTGCAGCTGAGCAAGACACTGACCAAACCCAATCAGCCTACGAACACTAGGAACAAACCTATAGTCAACAAAAATCAGGTGTGTTGATTCATTGCCACGAGAGAGGTGAGATCACCAGAGATGCCTTTGAAAATTTAACCAAAGATGGGGGCTAGTGAAGTAGCACAAGTGGTAAAGTACCTTCCTAGCAAGTATGAGTCCTTGAGTTCAAACCTCAGTACCACCAAAAAAAAAAAAAAAAAAAAAGGATAAAGTGATAGGATTAAGGAGAAGTGTGAAGTTTAGAAGGGATGTAAGTCAAGCAAATGTTTTGATGAGCTCAAAGCAAACCAAGACTGAAAAGGAGTCAACAAAGGGGCTCATCTTAGATCCTTTGAGCAAGAATGGGATGTTTTATTCTAATTGACAAAATTTCCAAACAGCAGTTTTTCAGAATCTTTTATTTTGGAGAACAGAGTTTCTCCTGAGAAAGTAGTGCTCACTCAAAGGAGAGGTTGATTATGACACTTTATAGATGGAGCATCTTTTTTGGCAGAAATATTATTTCTACTAACTTTATCACTGTCTTTATTTGTATTTGTTTTCCCTGACTGATGATTAACCTTGCAGATTACTTTCTCAGACTGGCTAACTTTATAGGAATGCTGGTGCTGTTGTAGGAAGTATTCTGAGTGTCATTTCAATAGGGAAACTTTAGCTCTTTCCTGTCACAAAGCAGGAAGTAAATTCTCCAACTACAGGTGATGATACACTCTGGGATGAGAAAGATGTCTATAATGAGGAGGTCATTGGCTGATTAAATCACAGAAATTTGAGTGATAGGCAAATAAAAGTCACCTTAGCAACCTGATGGTTACCTCCTTCCAAATTCCAGTTCACAAAGAGCCTGATGAACTCTAAATGGGTCAACTCTTGGGATGCAGTGCCCAACTCCTTCAGTAATACAAGTTTGTCTAATACTCCAAATGCCTGGATGGAGTATTTTTGTATGTGTGTTATCCGTGCTTCATACTTAACAATCAAGGAAAAAATGTTAATTTTTGTGCCCTTGAGAGATTGGTTCAGTCAGTGTCAAGAAAATACTTGAGAATCATAATAAATAGTAATCTGTTGTTTGGATCTTAAATGTCCTTGGAAGACCCATGCATTAAAGGGTTGGTGCACAGTTTTGCACCATTTGGAGGTGGTAGACCCATTAAGAAGTAAGCCTGCCAGGCATGGGTGTCTCACACCTGTAATTCAAGCTACTTGGGAGAGGGAGATCAGGAGAATCAAGGTTCCAGGCCCACCTGAGCAAATAGTTCATGAAATCCTATCTCGAAAATACCCAGCTCAAACAAGGGCTGGTAGAATGGCTCAAGTGGTAGGGTGTCTCCTGGCAAGTCTAGGGCCCTGAGTGCAAACCCCAGTACTGCAAAAAAAAAAAAAAAGAAAAAAATGTGGGACTCAGAGGGAGGTTTTAGATCATTGGAGTGGTGCCTCAAAGGGGACTGTCAGACCACAGCCTTGCTCAGTTTGCTTCCTATGCACAGTGCGGTGGCTCCTTCCTCCACGTACTCCCCCGTTATGCAGGCCCAGAACAACGAGGTCCACTGCTCATGGACTGAAACCTCTAAAATTGTGAGGCAAAGTAAATCTTCTTTTCAAGTTGATTATCTCAGCAATTTCGTTACAGAAATGGAAAGTTAACCAACACATCTAAAGTATATGGGAGGGCTGTAGAAAGATGCTGCCTTTTGTTGTCTTTGAGCATAAGAAGCTTTTGAGGTATGTATGGAGTTCTTAAATGCAAAGTAGCCTTTTAAGTTTTCTTTATCTCTTATTATTAGAACATAAAATTTTTGAGAGAAACCTTAGGTGGAAACCTAAGGGTTTTTTTTTTGTTTTGTGGTCCTGGGGTTTGAACTCAGGGCCTACACGTTGAGCCACTCCACCAGCCCTTTTTTGGGATGGGGGTTTTTCAAGATAGGGTCTCACGAACTATTTGCCCAGGCTGGCTTTGAATTGCAATCCTCCTGATCTCTACTTCCTGAGTAGCTAGGATTACAGGCATGAGCCACTGGTGCCTGGCCCAAGTATTCTTTTTTAAAAGTACAAATATCTAGTATAGATTTATCAATACAGTTATAGAATTATCAATACAGTTAAAGAATCTGTTTATAGGACTGGAAGCAGGGGAGAGTGAGAGAAAAGGGGACCTATAAAGAGAAAGGAAAACATAGGGAAAAAAGAAAGGCATGCAAGGAAGTAGGCAAACAAATTCAGTTATTGCTTTTGGTTCTCTGACCAAAAAAAAAAGAGAGGCACAGTGCTTTGCTAGAAGAAATACATCATGTTGGGTCAGCCCTGGGTTTGGATTTCCTCAGTGTCCCCTTTGCTGTGTGATGCTGGCCAAATGACTTAACTCTCATCTCCTTTCCTCTGAAATGGGGTTTAAAAGCTCTCTCTGTATTTTTCTCAACATCATTGGAAGGGTAAATTGAGATGGGGTATGTGAAAAATACTTTGTAAATGATTAGATCATCTGTGTCGTTAACTACTCTAGTGCTGAGGGATTCATAATAAGACAGCTTGATTCATTTGTTTAGCAAAGTTATGTATGCATGATGGTCATAGCTCTAATTTTATTTTGTGTGTGTGGTGCTGGGGATCAAACCTAGGGCCTTGCCCATACTAGGCAAGTGCTCTACCACTGAGCTACATCCCCAGTCCCTCATAGCTCTAGTTTGTCAAACACATTTGGTGTGGTGTGGTGTGTGTGTACACATACATGCAAAAACCTATGCTAAGAAGGCCCTATGGATGATACCAGGTATGGTGGTGCATATCCCAGCTATTTGGGAGGCAGAGTAGGAGGATTATGAGTTTGAGACCAGTTTGGGCAGAGGTAGCAAGACCCTATATAAATAAATAGAGATAAATAAGTAAAGGAAAGGAGAGAGGAAAGCGAAGGGAAGGGAAAGGAAAGGAAGGGCTGGAGGTATAACTTAAGTGGTAGAGTGCTTGCCTAGTAAGTGGGAGGTTCCTGCTACCACAAAAAGTGAGAAGGCTCTATGGTCAATAATAGCTCCTACCCTCAAAGAACTGTTACTTGGGACAGCTCTTGCTGCTGAAACATGCCTTCTGGTAGCTCAGTGGTACAGCATAGGTGGAATTTACCTGACAAGGACTGGGCTCTGTCGCTTTGGAGTGGTGGGTCTGGGACTCTTTTTTTTTTTTTGCTACATTTGGGACTGAACTCTGGGCCTCATGCTTGCTAGGCAGGCGCTCTACCACTTGAGCCATTCCACCAGCCCTGGAGTGGTAAGTCTGGTTTTCAGTACTTGTTTTAGCCTTAGAATGAGGGCTTTTCCTCAGGTGGGCTGGAAGAGCCACGGAAGAGTGGGATAGGAGCACCCTTTGCAGTGACCATGTTGAGCTGATTGGTGCTCATTAGTCCCTTAGAGAATGGAGAATGGGTTCACCTCAGGAAGGTTGTACCTTCCTGGGAGGAAGGGTGACAGAGATGCAAGGGGGCTTCAAGGGAGGGTTGGAAAGATGGTTGGGTTCCTGCAACAAGCAGACAAGGTCACTTCTGAAAAGTAAAAGCTCAGAGACACTTAGGGTGACCCACAGGGGAACATGAATGAGATTTTTTTTGAGGCGGGATGGTACTGCAGTTGGAATTCAGGGCCTCATGCTTGCTAGGAAAAGCCTTCATTCTAAGGCTCAAACAAGTTGCTCTACTATCCTCCAGCCCTTTTTTGTGTTGGATATTTTTGAGATAAGGTCTCACAAACTATTTGCCCATGCTTGCTTTGAACTGAGATCCTCTTAATCTTTGCCTCCCTGGTAGCTAGGATTATAGATGTGAGCCACTGGTGCTGTCAAGAATGATATTTTTGATGATACTTAACACTTTGAAATTCTTTGAATCTTCATAGTGTCAGTCTCAGAAGTAGAGAAGTGACTGTGGTGGGAGACCGTATGACATTGTCACAACACTGGATGTTGTTCCTGTTATTTATTATCTGTGTGACCCTGGGCAAGTTACTTACTTTCTCTAAAGTAAGTAACTTTAGAAGCTCAGTTTTATACTGAGCTTCCTCAGTATAAAACAAAGACAACAAATGTCAACCTCAAAGGGTAGTTAGGATAATCTATATTGAGGTTGGCAAACTTTTCATGTAAAGGGTCAGATAGTAAATATTTTGGGCTTTGCCAGCCATATGGTCTCAGGTGCAACTATTCAACTCTGTTGTTTTAGAACAAAAGTGACCATAGATAACACAGAAATGATAATAGAGGGTATGACACTGTTCCAATATAACTTTATAAAAAATAGGAGTGGACTGGAGTTGGCCCATAGGCCATAGCTTGCTAACCTTAGGTCTAGATGAAGTCCTTAACCTATCCAGAATTTTTCTTCATTTAGTGTGTATAAAATGAATGATAATGTATGGATTATTTAAGTGTATGTCAGGTGGATGCTCACCTGTTTGTGTGAGCAAAACAGTTAAGAGAAAAAAGCTCTACAAGCCACAGGGAATGCCTCTCCAGTCAAACATATATAGTACATCAGTGTGAATGGGAAAGCCTTTACTACAGGTAAGTCAGTTCACAGGTTGCACCTCCTGCTGTGCCATTTTGTAGGAGGTAGTAAAGTGTAAAGATCAAGAGTTACCAACTGACTATCTGTGTGACCTTGGACAGGATACTTCACTTTTCAACTTCAGTTACCTTGCTAGAAGAAAAGGTAATAATTACGTAATTCCTCAGAGAACTGCCACAATGACTGAATGAGAATTTGTGCAAAGCACTTAGAACAACAATTCACCATGTAGCCCAGTCTGGTTTTGAACTCTTAATTGTCCTGCCTTAGACTTCTGCCTCAGCCTCAGTGATGGGACTTACAGGCATGTGTCACCACACCCAGGTAAAAGATCAAATTCTTGCTAAAAGTGTGATTAGAAGACTGATGGAAACTTCCCAACTGTGTTGTTCCTCAATTTTTGTGTGTACCATGATCTAGGTAACCTAATTTCTCATGTTTCAAGCACAAATATTTAAAGGATGAATAACTATTTGGGACAGGTATGTAGGAAGGAAAGGATGGAAAGTAATACGTTACGTTTGAGAGGGTTTCATAGACTGTCTAATCTGGGAATAGGAAGGATAAGTAAGGCCCAGAATCTTGTGGAGAGAGAAAATGTCTATTGGCTACTATAGTCCTCATGAAACTTGAACAGATCACTGCAGAGGGGAACAGATTGCAGAGCCATGGAGATTTCTCTAGTTTTCCAGTGGACCTTGAATCTGAAGGGCTCCTCACCAGCTCTGCCATCCCCAGTCTTTGTTCATGAGGCTTCCAGGCCATAGTTACTTCTGAGGTTGGCAGGAAAGCTGGACAACTAGTTGCAAGTAGATTGATTACTATGTTGATCTTTCTGGATTACTCAGATGGGTTCCTGCTACTGCTGAGACCAGGGGAATAGAGGGCTGCTCAGGAAGAATACAGTTGTATGAAGATCTGACTTGGAGATTGGGTGTGAATGTCTGAACAATAGTGAACATGTCTAAATGGGAGTAACAGCAGTGTTGGCAAGCAAGAAGAGGGTCTGCCGTGTGTGTTGGGGATGAGTAAAAGTGTCTGGGTGCTATAAGTTTGGTGATACTGGTGGAAAGGCAGGATGGCTGTGTAGGAGGCGCATAGATGTGGGTTGCATGAGAGTCACAGGATAGCTGGGACAGTGGGGGGTGTGTGTGTTGGAGGATAGGTATGGCATTATGAGTGACTGTGTGCATACACAGGGTAGATGTATCTGTGGTGTGTAATGTTTCAAAGTGGAGCCCAATTGAGTGAAAGTCTTACAAAAGTTCTAAGAGTCTTAACACAAAAGAGTGAAGTGTATAGTTACCCATGTCTTTCCATGGAGACCTGTCAAAAGACATGGAGTTATCCATGTTTTTTCTTTTCTTCAGCACAAAGTCAGATACCCAGAGTAGGCTCTTTCTAATGGCTGTAGCCTCCAGGACGGATAGCTTATTATTTAACCATGAACCTGAAGGTTCAGCTCCATCTTCCCCACCCCCCTTCTGCTTAAGTAGGCAGAAGATGTTTTTGTTCAGGACATGTTTTGTGTCAATGTACTGTGAGGCTAGTAACCAGAGATCAGCAAGCAAACAAGAAGTTGGACATTGTCATAGCATCAACAGCAGGTTGAGTAATTTATGATAAAACTCACAATCCAGGATAGAGTCACTGGTGTATGTCAATTGCATAAAACAGTGCCTATATTAGATTATGTCCTAGGCCCTCCATAAATATTTTCTGAGTGGACGAATGAGTAGCCAAAGCCTTGCAATCTACTAAATGTCCATCAAAAGAAGTCTGTTTAAATAAACTAGCCAGCACAGCTGCTGCAAAGCAAGGGCAGATCACTCAGCTAGCTATGCTGGTAGAGAACATTCTCCAGGAAAGGAATGGTGAGTTTGTGCATGTTGGAGTCTTAACAGCACTGCAAATAGAATCTTGCTGCAGAGTTTTCTGAGAAGTCTTCCCAATCAGCTAAGTAGGTGAAGCGCTCCTGCATCACCATGGAAACGCCTTTTCCCAAAAGGAATGATAAAGCAAGAACAGATGCTGGACAATGCAGTGTAGTGAGCATGGTGGTGAACAGGGATGCAGAATGACCGACACTTTTGTCCAGATTTCCTGAGAGCCTGAAGTTGGTCAGAAGCCTCTCATTATACTGCCTCAGTTTAGGGGAGACCAGTATTTAAATCCCTATAAAACAAATGTAGAATCGTAGCTGGGAACACACACAAAACATTTGTGTAGCAAATATTTATGGAACTTCCAACACGCTCCAGGTTTCTGGCACTGTTCTGAGAATGTTAAGTCAATCTATCTATATATCCATTTATCCACTTGTGAGACAGTTTTGAGGCTGTCCTCAAAACTCTCGACCCTCCTGACTCAGCCTCCCAAGTGGTGGTTTACAGGTGTGCACCACCATCCCTGAATATGAATGTTAAATCATTTAACCCTTGCAAAAACCCAAGATAGCACCTCTAAAGTAGAGGTAATAGGGGTGGTAGATTGCCTGTCTATCAAGCGTGAGGCCCTGAGTTCAAACCCCAGTACCACCAAAATAAATTAGAGGTGATACTATTAACCCTGCTTTTGAGGTGGGGAAACCTGTGCCCATCACATGGCCCCATAGTCAGTGGTGTGATTCAGACCCAAAGCCCATGTTCTCAACCATGCAGAATCCACTGAGGGCATAAAGTTGTTGGTGGGTTCTATCAAGTTGAGGGAATTAGCTGTAATCCTAATTGATGAATCAAATTGTGTCTACTCAAATCTAAGAGTTGAAAGAAGTTATAAAAATTAAAAGTGGCTCACAGACTTGAGTTGTCAAATGGCCATCTTGAGCTTAACAAGCCCACATAGCTCCCAGTCCCCAGCACACTGAACTGTTTAGTTTCCCTGTCTCAGTCAATGGCAACTCCATCCTTCCAGTTGTTCAGGCCATACACCCTGGAGTCCCCTCCATCTTTCTCTTTCATATCCCACAACCAGACAGACAGATGGTAAATAATGTTGGCAACATCTTTAAAATTTATCCAGAATTAAACTTCTTCTCCATTACTCCTCCTCCATCACTACAAATGTGTGTAAGCCACCATGATTTCTTGTGGGCCACTATGGTAGCCACTTAGAAAATGGTCCCCAGCGATTCCTGCATTCTGATATAATCCCTCCGCTTCAGGGAGGGCTGGACTTAGTGACTTCCTTCTGATGCATAGAATGTAACAAAAGTTGTGAAATACACTTCTCAGATTAGATCATAGAAGACTGACCAACTCTGTGTCTTTGTTTCTCTCTCTTTCCCTCTCTCCCAGACTCTCTTTTCTGCTTGCTTGCTCTGAGGAAGCAAGTTGCCATGTTGTGAGCTACCTAGACATCCAGACTGGAACTGAAGCCTTGTACAACAGCCACAAAGAAATTGAGTGCTACTGACAGCCACATTCCTCAGTTGAGCCTTGAGATGCCTGTGTTCATAATATATTCATGGTGGCTGGTGAGGGAGCCTGAGCCAGAGGACTCACTAAGCTGTGCCTGTATTCCTGACCCACAGAAACAATAAGATGCTGCTGTTTGGGCTGGACATGTGGCCCAAGTGGTAGAGTGCTTGCCTTATAAGTGTAAGACTCTGAGTGGAGCAAACAACTCCATCCTTCCATACTTCATGTTGTAGTCTGTTGTCTACACCATAGTCAAAGAACCTTTTATGAGCTTTTTTTTTTTTCCTGACAGTACTGGTGTTTGGATTCAGAGCCTTGCACATGATTAGACAGACATTCTACCACTTGAGTAATTACCCCCAACCCCAGTACTTTTTTGCTTTAGTTGTTTTTCATATAGTGTCTTGCTTTTGCCCAGGGCTAGCCTTCGACAACAGTCCTACCTAGTTTTCCATATCGCTGAGATGACAGGTACATATCACCATGCCCAGTTTATTGATTGAGATGGGGGTCTCACTAACTTTTTGCCTGGACTGGCCTTGAACATTAGTCTTCTCAATCTCCACCTCCTGAGTGACTGGGATCACAGGTATGAGCCACCTCATCTTGGCCTTTCTTTTTAGAGACAAGGTCTTGCTATACAGCCCAGGCTAGTCTCAAACTGGTGATCTTCCATAGCCTCTGAGTCCTGGGATTATTGGCATGAACCACCATACCTGGCTTTCCAAGAACCTTTTAAATCATAAATCCAATCATGGCACCACCCTGCTCAGAGGTCTTATAGACCCTTCACAATCTGATTCCCTGTCATCTCTCTTTCCTTATTCCCTGTTGCTCTCCCCTTTCCTCATCTTTCTCCAACCACACTGGCCTCGTTGCTGTTCTTCAGGTATAGCAGGCAAGCCCCTACCCAGGCACCTGAGCATGACAATTCCTCTTCTAAGACACTCGTTCTCAAGTTTGCCTGGCTGGCTCCCTCATCTTCAAGTTGCTCAGATGCCAACTTCTCAGTGATGCCTTGCCTGGACACCCTATTTAATACCTAACAAAAAATATTTTCTTCATTCTGTCATTGTTTTATTGTTTGTCCCTTTGAGAATGTGATCTCTGGGAAAGTGAAAACCTTTCTTGTGTTCTTTGTTATAAGCCAAAAGCCTCGAACACTGTACCATTCAATGGCACAACCTCAGTGTTTCTTGATTAAATGGATTAAATAGTTTATTAATTGTGAAACCAAATCCCCACTGAAAGTTTAGAGTGCATTGTTGAAACAACAAACAGGTGGTTCTGTATTTTAAGTTGTGCCTGGGGTAGAATCACCTGTGACACACTTGTAGCGAAATCCTGGTCCTAGACTCAGTCTTCTGACTGTGGGTCAATTCACCTTGACCCCTTCATCACAGCTCATGTGGGATCTAGGCTGTGCTAGAGCTGGGTGAAAGATTCTACAATCCAAGGAAGCCACGATCAATTAAACTCATAATAATAAATCTGAAGATTTATTACTTAAGTATCTCTAATGTTCAAGAGATCTAATTGTGATTTCAAATTAAAATGTGTAGCTGATTTTAGACTTTGGATTTTAAGTTGAGAGTTTTGTGAGAATTTAGTTAAGTACATAGATAACTTTAAGATGTTTACAAGAACTTGATTTACTGTTATAGAGTATAAGTTTGATTTTTTTTTTAAATTTTGTGTGAATTTATTTAGTGCTTATAAGTGTATTTGGTTTGTTACTTTTCCCTGTCAGGTATTAGAAGTGCTTGAAAAAATTGAAATATATGATATTTATGAAGTAAATTAAAAATTTTCAAGGAATTTAATTAGTTACACTTTTAAACTGTGCTGATGTTTCTGAAAATTTAATCTCATATTTCACTGAATCTTAATTTTTGAACAAGCTAACCTTATTTCCATCTTATATAAAAATTACTAGATATAAAATAGAATAAGCTGGTGGAGTTGCTCAAGTGGTAGAGACCCTGCCAAGCATGCATAAGGTCGAGTTCAATTCCCAGTACCACCAAAAAAAAAAAAAAAAAAAAGATATGTAAGTTGAAATAAAAGGTTTAAGAAAACCTAAGTTTTAGCCACAAGACTAAAAAGTAGAACGTAATTTTTATGCTAGTAGCTGTCAATAGTCCATTCTGTGCAAAAAACCCTCCTTGGAATTTGAAAAGAAAACTCCTTGCTGACCACTTTGGAAGGAGACACAGAGGGGTCAGGACCTTGTGAGCCCTGGAACCCTGAAGATAGAAGACCACATATGAATGAGAAGCTGATTGCACTCAGTTCTGGTCACCTGGCCCATAAGAGGTGGCATCATATTCAGAAAAGGTACCTAGAGGCCTGTGACAGTGACAGCAGAGGAGAGTTTTTTCCTATCAATTTTAACTGTGAGCTAAAGAGTTGTAATATAGCTTTAAATTAGTACAGCATTTATTTCCCCCTTTAGAGAGAGTCTTGGTGCTTAGTCCTGGGCTCAGGGACACAGCTCACGTCTCCATCCTAACATGCATGAGGTAGCTCTTATTCTCACTACCCAGGCCTACTGACCCTGCCCTATACCCTGCAGCAGGACAGAAGAAGAGGGCTAAAGGTGTGTGCCCAGGGTCTTTGCTAGAATGAATCCTGGTTGCCTCCTCCCCACTGTTCATATCACTACCCCTACACTTACCTACAAGCAATGCTGGGAAGCAGAGCCTCTATTTTTATGAGCCCAGCTAAAAGTGAGACATTCTAATACTAACAGAAAAATGTTCTAGTACCACAGAAGAAGGCAAAAGCAAATCAGGAAGCAGATACTTAATACCCACCCCTGTGATGAGGGCCACAGTGAGCTGCAGGGTGAAATTGTGTATCTTCATTTGTGTGTGTGTGTTACTGTGGTTTGAACTCAGAGCTTCATACTTGCTAGGCAGGTGCTCTACCACTTGAGCCACTCCCATCAGCCCTGTTTTTTGTTGGGTATTTCCAAGTTAGGTTATCTCAAACTATTTGCTCAGTCTGGCTTCAAACTGCAATCCTGCTGATCTCTGCCTAGGATTGCAGGAGTGAGTCACAGGTACCTGGCTAAAATTGGATATTTTAAGATCTTATTTGGAATGACAAAGTCGAGAGGGGGTAGAAGTGACAGTTGTAAATGGTCACTGAGGTGCATGTAAGGCAGACATGGCCTGTTTCTCTAACATCACAGAACTCTACCTGGGGCTTATGTTCAAAATTCAGGAAAGGTCATTTTAGGGCAAATAAGTACGTTTTTAGACTCATCATTTAAAAAACAAGGAAACAAAGCAAATTAGATTGCTAAAAAAAAAATGAGAAATGAGTTAGCTTAAGAGAAGACATGCATTGAAAATGTTTTCCAAATTTTATCAATAGCATATTCCTAAAGATTAAGAGGAGAACCATATAACATTGAAAGAAGCTGCTTTAGCTTACAGAGCTATCAGCCTTTGTGTGCAAAACCCTGATCTGCAAGTTCTAATCTACATGCTACTCTTCTGGGGTGTTTTGTTTTGTTTTAATTTAGAAAAAACTTCTCTCTCTCTCTTTTTTTTGTTTGTTTTTGGTGTACTGGGGGTTTGAACTCAGAACTTCATGCTTGCTAGGCAGGTGCTCCAACACTTGAGCCATTCCACCAGCCCTTTTTGTGTTGGGTATTTTTGAGATAGGGCATTCTGAACTATTTGCCCAGGGCTGGCTTCGAACTGTGATCCTCCTGTCTCTAGCTCCTGAGTAACTAGGATTATAGGCGTGAGCCACTGGCGCCTGGCTAGAAAACATTTCTCAAAAAAATAAAAGAAGGATGGCTGGTGGAGTGGCTCAAGCAGTAAGAGCACTTGCCTAGCAAGTGTGAGGCCCTGAGTTCAGTGCTGCCAACAACAACAACAAAAAAGAAAACCTATTTCTCTCTTTCTCTCTCACACACACATATACACACTCACCCTTAAAGTAAACTTCATAGATCTCAGGTGTATCGTTTAATGAGTTTTGATAAATGTACATGTCCTTGTTCCCACTATCTAAACCAAGATATAACACATTTGTGTTATATCCCATTACATCTTCACTTTCTTCTTTATCCCACTCTCTAGGGTCAACCACTGTTCTAACTTCTGTCACTGTAGATTTCTCTCACTCATTCTTTGCATCAATGCACACTGGATCAAGCAGAATATATTCTTTGGGGTTTGGCTTTAGCTCAACATTATGTCTATGAGTGTCACCCATGTTGTTCAAGTATTAGGAGTTTAATCCCTTTTATTGCTGAGTAATATTCTGTTGCATGAGTGTATCACTGTTTACTCATCCTACTGTTGACAGACATTTGAGGTTTTCCAATTTGGGGTTCTAACAGCTGCTGTGAACATTGCTGTACAATTTAATACAAATGGATATAGTTCCAACTTTTTCTTTATCAAAGTGTTTATTCTAGGTGTTTATTCTATGTCGAGTTTAGAATCAATTTTTTAACTTCTATTAAAAAAATAGCTTTAGCAAGATGGCAACAACTGGCCTCTGCTGGGCTGCTACTGTGGCCCTACCTTCCACAGCCCATTTTCATTCAGGACAGGAATGAGGCCAAGCAGAGGGTGCACAAGCTCTAGGCGCCTTCTATTTGAGGGGCCCAACATGTGTACTCATTCCAGCTGGACACCACTGTGAAATAGGGAGGGTCAGGATAAAGACTAAGAGAAATGTTTATGAAGAACATCGCATCACAGCCCCCATTGTGTCTCATCTTGCAGTCATTAAGGGAAGATGGAACTGTGAGAAAATAGCAGTGATCACATGTTGACCATGGTCAAAGGAGTTCCTGTCAAGTTCTGGGTTGGGCATGACCCATGAAGTCTCTCAATGGAAAGGTGCATGTTGATATTTCCTTATTTTAGAGCACAAATAAACTCATGTAGTAGTCAAAAACAGTAGAATGCAGGGGTTTTGGTTGGAATTGCAGATCAATTTTGAGACTTTGCTGGTCTAGGACCTCTGTCAAACAAATCTAAGACAAAGAAATA